ATGTACAGTAGGCGCTCGATAATCCGGCGCTCGACAATCCGGCACGCTCAGTAGTCCGGCACTTCGGGACTCAGGCAGCCCGCTCTATAATCCGGCATTTTACACAGCTGAACGCCGGACTACTGAGCGGCGCGGCCGGCGGTTGAATTGTTCGAGTAGTTTCTTTCGCTCGGCAGTCCGGGCCTAACCTCAATAGTGAAGCCACGTGTTTGTTTTACTCGCAGCGTCGCTTTGACAACTCGCAGCGTCGCTTTGACAAAATGGCGGACAAAAAACGTAAACACGAAACATTGAGTTTAGTTAAAAAGATGGAAATTTTGCGAAAGTTGGATAGTGGTGAAAATCAGATGAAGTTGGCTGGTGAATATGGTGTAGGCCGTGCAACAATTTATGATATAAAAAAGAATCGTGAGAAGATTGAAAACTTCGCCAACACTGCTGACGCCGGGACGAGTTCACGACAGACTGTGAAGATTGGAGAGTATCCTGTTATGGAGGACGCGTTGTATACGTGGTTTCTTCAAGAACGAGCTCGTCATACGCCTCTTACTGGAGATATTATTCGTCAAAAAGCTTTAACTTTTTATGAAAAAATATACAAGAATGCCAACTTCAAAGCTAGTGATGGGTGGTTCCAGAATTTCAAGTCAAGATATGGAATACGTTTGTTGACTATAACCGGCGAAAAATTATCCAGTGACACATCAGCCGTCGCTCCATTTGTCGAGAAGTTTAAGAAAAAAGTTGACGATCTTGGTTTAACACCAGACCAAGTTTATAACGCTGACGAAAGCGGCCTGTTTTGGAGAGTTTTACCTAACAAAACTTATGTTTATAGAAAGGAGTCAGAAGCTCCAGGCAGGAAAGTGTCAAAAGACAGGGTCACTATTATGCCCTGTGCAAATGCTAGTGGCACTCATAAACTTAAACTGCTGTTTATTGGAAAAGCGAAGAATCCTAGAGCTTTCAAAAATGTTAATCTTCCACTTGTGTATAAAAATCAAAACAAGGCATGGGTAACTAAAGAATTATTCGTTGACTGGTTTCACAATGATTTTGTGCCTGCGGTACGTAAATTTTTGAAAAGCAAGAATCTTCCACCTAAAGCTGTTCTGTTGTTGGATAATGCCCCTGCCCATGGACCAAATGATGAGTTATCATCTAGGGATGGTAAGATTCAAACACTTTTTATGCCACCTAATTGCACACCGTTACTTCAACCTATGGACCAAAATGTAATTCAGATGATAAAATGTAACTACAAGAAGAAACTGTTATTGAATGCTGTTATTCGGGATGATGATGCCACTAAAACACTGAAAGACATGAACCTTAAAGATGCGGTCTTTAACGTAACTGAAGCGTGGAACATGGTGCCTCAAAAAGCGATTCAATCGTCCTGGAAAAAATTATGGCCTTCACTAAACCAAAATCCTGAGGAAGAAGAAGAGTGGGAATCAGAAGATGAATTACCTCTTGCAGAACTAAAGCAAATGTTGTTCCAAAAAAATCAGACAGAGTTGACTGAACAAGATGTTGAGGAATGGTTTGCGGAAAACTCGGATTCTTTTCCTGCAATGACCGATGAAGAAATAATAAATGATGCTGTTTCTAGCTCTGAACAAGATGATTTGGAAATGACCTTGCTTAGTCCCACGAGCCCTTCAGTGAAGGCTGAAGATGGCCTGAAATCAATAGATGTCAGTATTCGCTGGGCAGAGGAGAATAACGCTAGTAACGACATTTTACTGAATTTGAGAAAGTTAAGAGAAATGATAATTAAAAAAATTTACTATGGCAAGAAGCAAGTGAAAATTGACAATTATTTGGTCAAAGCGTCGTCTTCCTCTTCTGCGGCTGAAAACGTCACAAATGATGAACCTAATATGTAATTTTAATACATAATTAATTAATATTTTAATTAATTTATATAATTTTATTTTTATAATAAATTCAACTTACTATATTAAATACGAAGTCTTATTTCCTATACTAATTCGATAATTCGATAATCCGGCATTTCCGACAATCCGGCATAGAGGAAAAATTTCCGGTGCCGGATTAGCAAGCGCCTACTGTATTTTAGTTCATGGAAAAGGTTTTTATACACAATTTATTACTTGGGGCGTTTTAACGAAATTAAGACTAGAGCATACACTATGGAAAATGTAATTTAACGAAAAGGATCCAACCATATAAATTTACATATAACTTGCAAAATTCAATACAAAGTTTGAATATGCTATTAACAATAATAAAGTGTTATTATTCCACACACAACATCATACTTTCAGTTAATTTTAAAATGAATACCTATGAAGAATATATTCCAAACTTCAAACGTCAATATCTCCAAAGTGACTTTGTGTGGATTGGATCCTTTTCGTGTAACTACGTCCAATTATAAATGACAATATTTCTGAAAACGAAAGTCAAAATATTATCAATGCAACCCACCAAAGCCTTGAAAGTATTCAGGATGAACAAAGTAGCGCGAGAAAGGACGACCAGACTTGTGAATATGAATACTTTCTTCACTCTGACAAATAACCCTTTACCATTCAACCTTCAAATAATAAACAAATCAACATTACTAGTGATCTACAGAATAACGACCAAGAGCTTGTAACTTTAGAAGACCTAGGAATAGCAAATGCAAAAAACCATGAAAGAAACCTACCATCCTGTTCAACATCAAGACTCAACGATTTTTTACCCATACCTCCAGAACCAACTTTTACTTTTACTTACTAAGTATACTTTTTCATTGATATCCTTTTCCTGAAACGATAATTATGCACTTCATAAAATAATACCACCATAGCCACGAACTCCTTCAAAGTAACATAACATAACACAAATATCAAAGCCATCATCGCCATATGCCATAACCACAGACTACAAAGAGATAATGGTGACATTTGACATTGACGTCTGACAGCTTGTTACTTTGGCATTTTGTCTGTGAGTGACAACGAAATTAATTACTAATTTTGATGCTTTATGTAAATAGTTGTTTTTCTTTTTCCTATCATTAATTTTAAACGTAAGTAGTATATATTTAATTTAGTAATATTTAGTTTTAATTTTATTTAAGCAATAGTTATAATTTTAAGTTTTTTATTTAAATAAATAATTCAATTACTAATTTTAGGATTCAAATCAGTCATTATTCTAATCTTGAACCTAAAAATTAATTGTCATGCAATATACATATTTAAATATGATTTATTGTCCTTTAGGTTATTTTCTTTTTCGATCTCTTAGACTGGATTTTGGTGTTACATTGTTCTCGCACAATCGAACCAACAAAACTATGTAAAGAGTAAGCTCTAAGTTTCTTGCTCGTTCTTTTCCATAGGAATCTACACCTTAGAATGAGCAAAAAGCTTCACTTTCCTTTTTTCTGCCGTTCAGAAGTATCCTCCTCTCCTGGTCTAATTATAATAAATGATTTTGACTTTGACTTTTATTTACATTCCGAATCTCAACGTAACAATGGTTATCATTTATTTCCACAGTTCATTTCCCACGAAGAGTTTTAGGTATGGTTTAGGGGAGGGGAGCTACCTGTTGTTGGCAATCAGTACGTTTTTTTTTTCTTTTTGGCAACGGAGTCTCCAATACAGTGTTGTCGACTATATTACCAGTGTCGTGTGGTGACGGCAGATTATTGAGCCGTCGAAATTAACTTTGTGGTAGTTTTAGTAGTTAGTAACTAAAAAGGTCAAAACACTTGGGTTAGTAAACATAAATCACCAATACACATAAATTACATTGCCTAACATATAATATATAATTAGATATACATAAAAAATTAAACAATATTTACATTATTACACACCGTAATATTTTAATATTATTTTCATTTATAAAGAAGAACGGCAGATTTCGTACCGGTTGGCTAAAAAAAGATTTGTCATTGTTTTGCCTTGGGCAATTGGGCAGCTATAGAATCCTCTAAATATGTTATGTAAAAATCTATTAAATATCCTATATTTAATAGATTTTTAGAACTTGGGAAACCCTAGAAAATCTGATATTCTAAGAATTAATCTTTAGATGCTAAAAAGCAATCAACAAAACGTTTACAGAAATACAAACCACGATTGACGTTTATAAAGAAAGTTGCCGTGCGTGAACATGAAATCAGAGGCCTTAATACGAGTTTGATTTACGTATAAAGTATTCGAAACGAGTATGCGTTCGGCACTCTGATTGGCCGGCGTCAATGAAGCAACCAATCACAGCGCCGAACGCGTACTCGTTACGATTACTTTAAACGTAAAACAAACCCGTACTAAGGCCTCAGAGTATATTGAATGTCGCTATTTCATACACTCATTTATTATATTAATATCTATCAACGAAATATTTTCCTTTCTATTTCAAACATTTTTTATAAGTTAATATCATTATTTTAATTTCATTTTGTGAAGTCTACATGGATTATTAACGATAATTAACGTTTTCACAAACTTGAATTTAATATTTATTTATTGGTAATCTAGACATAAATAAAATTTATACTACATAATACAAACTTGAATACGGCAATGTTGAACTGGTATTTGCATAGATTTAGTATAGTAAGTCTGTGATGATTTAAGCATGCTTGTCAATATTGTCAATGTCAGTGGTAAGTAATCTGTCATCTGTCAAAGTTGTGATTTATAAATTTCGGGAGTTTGGAGACTCGGTTGCCAAAGAAAAAAAACACTTGAATAGTTTGAATCATCATGTGTGTGCTTTGAATTGACTAAATACCTTGTTAGATTAAATACTGTTTTCTTTTCAGAACTATGAATCAGTTTCCAGTGATATAGAACAACTGCAACTATAAAAGTAGAGCATTAGAAACCAAAAAGTATAAAATAAGGGTATAGGGGTTTTAGAAACTGTCAGTCAGCCGAATGAACAAATCATTAAGCAATAGGTGAAAAAAAGAATACTGACTTACTGAGGGAACTCAAATACAGTAGACATTCGGTTTTTTCTTCTGTTGACGAACCAAACTATGATATACTATGATATGATTATAGTATTGTGCCTTTGTGCTTTATTGGGAAGCATTGTATAAAACTACTACATTGTATCACAATTGACGCTAAGTGTCTTTCTGTGTAAGCATTTTTGCATTCGTGTCTATATCTCTGTGAAATGAGCTTATGACGTCTAACAATGGACAATCAAGTACATCTGGTGTTCGTTTAACACATCATGAAGAACTTATTGGTTTAATCATCATTTTACTGACATATCTCTCAATTGTTATCTATTAAAAATGGTTCCCATATCAATTTAATTATTTATCAAAATGAACTAAAACAATGATTGTTTATTCACTCATAAAGAACATGGTTCACTTACAATGAGCTTATATGACTAATTATAACTGGGTATACAGAGTTATAACCTAACGACATTTATAAATATTTACAGATACATATTTTCTTAACCTACTTTTAAATATGGCAATTGACTGACTATTTCAGCCTTTGACTGCTGATAAATTATTGTTGAGGGCAAATCCTCTGCTATCGTGGACCACATGTTGTCCCCCATGGATTTAAAGTGTTAATAAATCTTATTTGGCAAATTAATATATAATTGTGCTCCCTCATATGTTATGCATCTTTTACTGCAATTTATTTTGTGACTTTGTAGTTTAATCTTGTTTGTATTTCTCAAGGAATGATAAAAAAACTCAAAGTAAACTTGATGTCAGATTGTATTTACATTTACAAAATTAACTTTATCTCATATCCAATATCTTATTGTAAATAAATTATGTATGTAGAGTATATTTGTCATATTTTATATATTTTCTTTTATTTTGACGAATTTTAATTTGTTGTCTTCATTACATCAGCTATGATTTTTTTCTCCATGATTTGGACATTGACCATAGAAATGCCCATGGCATTAAATCAAGTGAAATGTTGTTCCCTATAGTTTTGTGGTGGCCAAACATGTCACAAGTCAATGGATGACGTCATAAAATCCTACATCGCACATGCGAAGTTTACAACTAGGGGGCAGAAAGCCCGCCAGGCACGATCAGCTCGCCTGGTCGGATGATCCTCCTTTTCCGATCTTAGGGAACTATACTCTCTGTTCCCTAAAGGTCCATTAAATGAATAGGTAAATTGGTTGTCCTAAGTTCTTGTTGTTACGAGACACTATGTTGGTTGTCATGGGTATTCAGTCTAGTTCATCCAGGAAGCTTGTCTTATGTCCAGTGATTCCTGAAGTGTACATTAGTCTCCGCACATGAATTATTCAATTAGTTTATAATGTAGGGAAACAAACTATTGATAAAAAAAATGAAGATCTGTTAATTTATTTATTATATCGAAGGATTTCTGCCACATCACAAACTTACAATATTTAAAATACACAAAAGCAATCAAATAATGGTCTGATATTCACATACATTCGGGTGTTTCTATGATTTAGTGTAATTCTGACAGAAATGTGAGAAAATTTGCAATTTCTTATTTTCAACTTTCACGAGAATTGGTATTGAGAACAGCAATCCTATTTATGTAATTAATACATCACCTTATGTAATGTGTATAATACACATTACATCGACGGCTCCTAAGTATACTGAGTCAACTATATTTCTAATAACTTTATAGGAAGGCCATAAGAACACCAAATGGTTATATTTAAATTATTAATACAAGCAAGAAAAAATAACTAGGCAGTGAATTACGTTTAATAAAGCCTCTTATATGCACACATTAAATTTTATATTATTTTATTAATTTATGAAATAATGCAGATAGTATACGGCTATTATTTGTTTCTTAAAAATGGATCAAGTACCACTTATATTTTTAGTCTTCTGCTTTCAATTGTCTTGCTAAATCTTTTTGTTTCAAGTGCTTTGCCTGTTTTTCTGTATGTTGTTTATTGTTTTCAAATATGTGACATTCTTCACATACATCTTTTTTCGGCTTATAATAATAATAAAAATGTTTATTTCAAAAAGGAAAAGTTTTACAATTTTGTTGTATCCTGGACCTCACACTAGGATTCCCTGTGTCGTGAGGCCCAGGCTCCCTAACAAACAGTAATGGCTTATGGAAACCAATGTTTATATTGTTGTTAATAATATCACGATATTTGCCGCACACTAGTTAGTTTATTTGTGTACTTACTGGAATCAAACCATTCTTCATACAGTCTAAACATTTTAGGAAACGATAGAGACCCGTCAAGATATTTCTTGTTGGAATCTTTACGAATATAATGTGATTCCACGGGCGAAAAACTTGCCACATGATCAATTACACTTTGTTTCATATCATCAGTTATTTTTTTCTGATGGTGAACATGCTTGCCTCGCTGATCGGACTGTACAGCTCCTTGTCCTTTCTCTAGTTTTTCTAAAGCTGTATAAAGGAAATTGAAACTTATAGATAAGGTGTTTAAAAACATAGTTTTACATACAGGAATATTCCTTATAACAACGTTGTCTGCTTCATAAATAGGTAAAGTATAAGAAATAGTACTCAGTTTTTTAGTATTCTCCTTGTTTGTTGTTATCATCTTCTTCATTTCTTTGGTAGCATACTTCGTCAAAAAGTCCCACTGCCTGGAATGATCTCCAATGTCCCAAAACGTTTTAAATATCTTTGATCTAGTCCAGGGGTTCCCAACGTTTTCTTGGTCAGGGACCACTTTGACATAGTTTTTTTCGGCAGGGACCACTATTTAGTTATTAATTAACTAAATTTTAGTGTAGTAAAATAAACTGTAATAATCAAACTGAAACTTTAATTCAAACTCTAATATGAATTACATAAAAAGAAATAATAACATTTTAGGATAAACTTTCGTAATTTTAAATTAATGCGATTTCTGAGCTTGCATCTTCTTCACGAGTTCGGCTATCCTAGGACTGATATTGTTACTCAGAGCCACACGTAAATCATCACTTACTTTCAAACGATTTCTCGTCTTGTTTTTTAATACGATCAAAGCAGAAAATCCTTGTTCACATAAATAAGTGGTTGAGAAAACGATAAAATAGCGTAAGGCGATTTCTCGAAGTTTAGTATAAGAAAGTGCTTTTTTACACCAAAATGACTCAAGTGAATTCGATTCAAAAGCATCCTTGCAGTTTCTGTCATTTTGTAATTCAATGAGCTCTTCTTGGATTTCTTCTGTAACTTCACTAGCGTCCGTGCTAAAAGGGTTACGAATCATTTTTTGATCAAGATTAGCTTCTTCGTTATATTCTGGGAAATAACGATTGAATTCATCAATCAACATATGTAAATGAGTCTTAATGTTTTCTTGAATATTTGCTGTAAAAGCGTCATACTTTTTGTCTTCCACAAGTGATTGTAATGTCGCAAACGCAGAATAATTATTTTCTTCAATTTTACGTAACCACAATTGAAGTTTGCAGATAAAAGCACGAAGTTTATCTTCAAAAATGAATATATTTGCGACATTCTCTAAGTTTTTATTTCCAGAACCTTGCAGTTGTATATTTAATTTATTTAAATGTGTGAAAATATCCACAAGATACGCCAAGTCCATCTGACATGCCAGATTAGTAAATTGTTTCAACAAATCATTATTTTTTTTGTCACCCAGAAAAATCTCAACCTCTGCTCTCAGTTCATATAATCTTCCCAGCATATTACCTTTCGATAGCCATCGAACTTCGGTATGAAAGAGAAGTGTCTCGTGATCAGAGTCCATTTCAGTGCATAACTTTTTGAAAAGTCGTGTATTTAAGGCGCTGCTTTTAATAAGATTTACAATTTTTATGGCTATTTTTAGTGTATCATTGAGGCATCCAGGAAGAGTTTTTGAAGCCAACGCCTGGCGATGTATGATACAGTGCGTTGTAATTACATTAGGATTTTTCTGTTTTACTAATGTCGCCAGCCCGGAACGTGATCCCAACATTGCTGGAGCACCATCGGTACAGAGGGCAGCGAGTTTATCCCACATAAGATTATGTTTCTCGAAAAATTCGGATATTGAGTTCATGACGTCGATACCTTTTGATGTTGTGTCCAGTTCCCGTGAAATCAATAACTCTTCTTTAATTATGTTCTGCTGTAAAAGCGTCATACTTTTTGTCTTCCACAAGTGATTGTAATGTCGCAAACGCAGAATAATTATTTTCTTCAATTTTACGTAACCACAATTGAAGTTTGCAGATAAAAGCACGAAGTTTATCTTCAAAAATGAATATATTTGCGACATTCTCTAAGTTTTTATTTCCAGAACCTTGCAGTTGTATATTTAATTTATTTAAATGTGTGAAAATATCCACAAGATACGCCAAGTCCATCTGACATGCCAGATTAGTAAATTGTTTCAACAAATCATTATTTTTTTTGTCACCCAGAAAAATCTCAACCTCTGCTCTCAGTTCATATAATCTTCCCAGCATATTACCTTTCGATAGCCATCGAACTTCGGTATGAAAGAGAAGTGTCTCGTGATCAGAGTCCATTTCAGTGCATAACTTTTTGAAAAGTCGTGTATTTAAGGCGCTGCTTTTAATAAGATTTACAATTTTTATGGCCATTTTTAGTGTATCATTGAGGCATCCAGGAAGAGTTTTTGAAGCCAACGCCTGGCGATGTATGATACAGTGCGTTGTAATTACATTAGGATTTTTCTGTTTTACTAATGTCGCCAGCCCGGAACGTGATCCCAACATTGCTGGAGCACCATCGGTACAGAGGGCAGCGAGTTTATCCCACATAAGATTATGTTTCTCGAAAAATTCGGATATTGAGTTCATGACGTCGATACCTTTTGATGTTGTGTCCAGTTCCCGTGAAATCAATAACTCTTCTTTAATTATGTTGTCGTCGTCTAAAAAGCGAACAAATACAAGTAGTTGACAACAATTTGAAATGTCGGTCGACTCATCACACTGCAAAGCGAAAAATGGCGATTTTTTTATTCTTGACACAAGTTGCTCCTCTATATCACTTGACATAAGCTCAATTCGAGCTTTGACTGTGTTATTGGACAGAGGTATGTCTTGTATTTTTTTCTTGACCTCTAATCCCAAAACTTCTTCGACGGCTTTGATCAAACAAGGTTTTACGAGTGTTTCTCCAACTGTGTGTGGCTTTTTAGATTGTACTATTAATTTAGAAATCTCAAACGACGCTACTAATAACTTTTCCGATGTTGCAAATCTCGAGCCGCTAGGCCCGAGTTTCATTTTTTTTAGGACCTCTAATTTTCCTTGAAAGAATTCAAGCGGGCGGTTACATAAATCTGGATGTACCGTTTCTAAGTGGCGTTTCAATTTTGCTGGTTTCAACGCTTCATTTGCGAGAACGGTTGCGCATATAACGCACTGTGGTTTTATTTCCCCGTTACTTTCTATCGAGGTAAATCCAAATTTTATATAATTATTGTCATATTTTCTCTTAGGCGCCATGTTCTGAAAATAAGATACAAAAAAATGAAACCGAATACAAACCGAAAAAACAAAAGCGTAAGATCAAGTTCTATAATATGATCGTGCTAAGCTAGCTTACATAAAAATATTTTTGAAATAATAGCAAAGGTAGTTTTAGTTTACATTACAAAGAAATTTAGTGACCAGCAAAAGGATTCGAATACCGCGAGCCCGCGATGAATCACCAAAAATTCAAAAATTTAATTTAGTTTACGCTTCTTTGCAAAAATGAATAAATAAAAATATACTACTTTGCCATACGTACGATTCAGCAAAATGAAATAAACAAATATACATAATACATATACGTATTGATAACGTCGTTTACTTGATAACGACCCGAAAATCATCATTTTTCAGGGTGAGAAGGGTTTATCGAAATAAAATATTCACTCACCTGTATTTACGAACTATTTCACGATATCAATTTAAGAACAACGATCAGCAATAGGTAACTAATAAATGAATGATTAACTTCCTCACACAGTTAAGTAATATTACGTGTTATTACTGACACTGAAATAGGTAAAACAAATGACGTTGTATCGTCTTCGTAGAGACGCGCGGGGGCGGCCGGCCCCGCGTACCGCGCCCCCTCCACCCGCACTCTAACGCGCTGGGCCACGTTCACAACCTAAGTGTAGTTGTTTGGTTGTTTTTAACTCGCTCAAAGGCTCGGAACGAGGTCGGTTGTTTAACGTCAAATTGGAACATAAAAAACTTTGGAGTCAAGTCAATTGTCATCGACTGACACAACATACTTCGAAAATATATGGAATATGACAACCGAGGCTTGAGGCTCTGAACGACCTAGAGTGCACTCGAGCGTAGGCTCTGAACGCTCTCCTGTAAGTAGCGCGCAGCGGGCTGTGCGTGTGCGTGCACGGCGCGGCGACCGACGGCTCACCGAATTTAGCGGGCGCGCCCGCTAAAGAATTCATTCGCCGACCATATTTTGCCGACCGCTTCTGCGGACCACTGGTGGTCCACGGACCACTGGTTGGGATCCATTGATCTAGTCTCTTCGGATATTTTTTCATAACATTTCTTTCTACATATTGTAGGACATGAAGATTTCATTAGTTTTTTATTATGCACTTTTCCATTTCTACTAATATACCTATTGTAGGCCTCTGTTGACGTTTCGTTTCCCTACCTCATCCTTCCAATCCTGCAGACAACGTTCTCTTATTCTACCTTTGCATTTTTTAGTTCGGGCGGGCGCGCCCGCTAAAGAATTCATTCGCCGACCATATTTTGCCGACCGCTTCTGCGGACCACTGGTGGTCCACGGACCACTGGTTGGGATCCATTGATCTAGTCTCTTCGGATATTTTTTCATAACATTTCTTTCTACATATTGTAGGACATGAAGATTTCATTAGTTTTTTATTATGCACTTTTCCATTTCTACTAATATACCTATTGTAGGCCTCTGTTGACGTTTCGTTTCCCTACCTCATCCTTCCAATCCTGCAGACAACGTTCTCTTGTTCTACCTTTGCATTTTTTAGTTCCAGAAATTCGTTTACGTGTCTGAAAAGTTGGAGTAGTTACTGGAGAGTCAGTATCGTTAACGTTAGTTGCGGGCGTAGCGACAGGATTATTAAGACAAATTACGTCAACGTAAATTGGCGAAGGACAAAAATCACTATAAGGCGATGGGATTGGAGTATAATCGTCTGATTTTTCTTGATAGTTACTGGTGCTAGGCTTTTCTTTGATATTTGATTCTGAGTTTTTATAAAAAATAGTTTGTGTTTGGTTGAGAATCTGCAATGATTGATGACGGTGAAGAATTAGTAGGTAGCAAGGTCCCAGTTTCATTATAAGGTTCTTCAGTGTAGTGCTTATTGTCAGGAGTCGGTGAAAATTCAGGAATATCATTCGGAAAAATAGAAGAGTTTGATGGCAGATTTTGTAGTAAGATATCGGTATCTTCCAAATCAATATCATCTAATATTGATAATTCTTCTTGAATAAAATTAGCACCTGAAGGCAATGGAGAATCTGAAAAAAAAAACACACTAAATTACACATTGTAATAACTACAACTCATACAATCTAAAACTAAATAAAACTAGCTGTTTAGTTATATCCAGGTAAATACTACATGGATATAACTACACAGCTAGTTCCTATTATCTATGTATATCGATCTATTTTATGAATATCCTCAATATCCTGTCTATCTCTGTACCAAATCTCTTTAAAATCAATTTAGCAGTTTAGGCGTGAAAACGCAACAAACACACCGCCAATTAGATATACAGAGTTACATTTGCATTTATAGTCATGGTTACAAGTTAGGATTCTCAATATCATTAATTAAAAATATGAATTGATGAACGTAACAACAATTTTTTATCCGATTTTGAATCGTACAATTGAGTTAAATCAATCAGCAGAATGAGTCAAGTTAATACTTTGTAAAAATTGTTCAACGTATACTGAGCTATGTAGCTCAGTATACGTTTAACTGTAGAGTTAAACCGTATACGTTTAACTGTAATGTTAAACCAGTAACCGCGGTTTACTTTCAAAATGCAAAAATAATCAAATTAATTATGCACTTAAATATTTTTCTACACTAATAAACAATAATTTAACTCCACTTACCTCTTTTCACTTCATTTTGAACATTATCACAAGCTTCAGAAGTATTTTCTTTATTAACATCATAATTATCGTATTTTTCATCCACTAAATTAATGATTTTTCGAGACCTAGTACTCATCACCACTTTCTTTACAAATATGACTGTAAATTTAAATAAAAAGAACACAAGAAAAGCAACTATTTTTTGATAACAAAAAGCAAACAATTACGTCCGCACACCCCGCTGTTTCGCCGTATACTGATTCAGTTTGAACTTACACCAAAATGAGCGCATTCACGTCCCGCGTACATTGGTAGCAAACACTCGACTCAGTTTACAGTGTAAAATAATTAAATCACTATAGTTGATCGAGTATACACTATTTTATTTTAGTTATTTACAAAGTTTTTTTATTTTTTCTTTTCCGGGTAAATAGAAAATGTTTTAATTATTGTTAATACACAAAAAAGTACAATTCTCAAAATTTGTTAGTTGACTCAGTATACTTAGGAGCCGTCGACATAAGGAGATGTTGTATTGACCGGTGAAATTCTGTACTGCTGATGGTAATGAAAACAGTGGAGTTGGTAATGAAATTGGGGACTAACCCTTTACTGCATGTCGCTGAAAACCTAACGGGTAACCGGGGCTCCGGCTCGACGTGCAGGAGAAGGAACGGGGTGGGTTTTAGTCAGTAAGAGTCTGACACTCCCTTCCGCCTCACCCAGGCGGGAGCAGTCATTCGATGATTTTCCCCCCTTAAAAAAAACCCTTTAACTGCATGATTTTTTATTTAAGTTTGGAAAAAATATATATGGTAGGAAACACGAAATAAATGGACACATGTTTCAGCATTTTTCTTGTTATTGAATAGTTTTAGAAAAAAAAACACTTTTTACTTTGGATCACATTTGGTACATTGAGCAAAAATCAATATAAAAATAACCTTATAGCGCGCATTAGTAAGACTAATGTATCGTTGCACACCCCATCTCGAACTCGACGCTCGGCACGAGTCCGCGCCCGCGCCGCCACTCTAGTCAGTGACGCGAAATCTATTAAACCGAGCGCACGCGCGGTCGAGCGCGCGCCGACTAATTCCCATTTAAATCAATAACGCTAACGGTTATCTTTGTTATATTCATGCAAGTTCTGTCTTATTCCGTTTATTGTGCTCCAAATGTAATTAATTCAATATAAGTTGAGTTTTCCCCTAAGTGTCGTTCGTTATTTCACTCAATTCAACCCTATACTTATCAAAATATAATCGTAAAAATTATGTTGTATGGATACTTCGAAACAATTTCTTTTATCGTTGAGGCAAAGGTTGACTTTGCATTTTCGGCACTCCACGTGGGATCTACCATTGCATTAAGGGACCTTACAACACTGTCTATTGGACCAGACAGGCAAATGATCCATCTTATCTAAACAAACGTCCTGAGATAGCATTATTGCTATGGACCCTCTCATTTTTTTTTGTTCAATGGATTGTTCCATGATCAGGGTTGAAAAAAAAACATGTTTATTTTTAAACAAACATCATGTTTTATTTGAAAAACAAAAAAAAAACATCCTTACTAATATTATAAATCGGAAAGTGAGTTTGTTTGTTTGTTCCGCGTTCACGCCGTAACTACTAAACCGATTACTTTGATTTTGTATTTTGAGATTACTTTGAGATTGCAGACGTAAAGTTAGAAGTCTGGCTTAAATAATAGGGTACTTTTTATCCCGGAAAAATTTGATATTGTCGAGGGAAAACGAAATTATTGGTATAGATGGTGCTGCGTGTATTGGTATATGTCACATAGCGTCGGTGCGCCTGCCAAAACTGTTATGTGCATTTGGTCAAGTTTTCAGGAGGAGACAATAAACTATTTTTTACACTTGCACTGAAAGGTTGATGGACTTAGCAATAAATTAAAAATGCACTATGATGGCGAAAATTATGATAAAAATAACTGAGATAAAAGTGAAAATGATAACATATAAGTACTGTTCATCCCCAGTAATTTTATTTTCGATTTTGGTGCGTATATCAGATTTATCTTAGAAAACGGTAAAAATTTTAAACAAAAACTGTTGATATTCAATCTGCCAAACTATCTATGTGATGCTGCAACTTCTGACATGTGCGTTTTATGTCACATAACTGTAACCAATCGAACACATAACCAATTTGTCATGGCCAGAAAGTGCACATATAAGATTGGTCTAATCAATTTCTATAGGGAAATAACACATATTTGTTATTGTAATCGATGCGCTATCCGATTTGAAGGACATGTAGCTAAGAAAAAAAAAAACTAAATATTTGCACATATCAGTTTTGGCAGGCGCACCGACGATAGGCTACTTTTTATCCTTTTGTGACGCGAGCGAAGCCGCGGGTAAAAGCTAGTGTTTTTATAAATGCGTGATTGCTGTTTTAAAACATGTTTTAATCACATTTTTATATAATAATCACGTTTTAAACACGAAAAAAATAAAAAAAATAGTTAATAATAAAAAAGTTCTGTAAGGTGCCTTGGGGTAATATCGGACGGATTTTCAAATAGTTGCAAGGATGTAAACTTTTTTTTCTGATATTTGGTATACAGCACATTGATGAAAAATAGTGGAATCACTAATGATTCAACACAGTATAATTTAAAATTAAATTTATTTATAAACACTCAATACTTTTTGCTTTGTAAGCCTGTAAAATCTGAACATATTTTTTTGGAATGCAATGACGATTTGGCTATCAAGGGGTAAGTTCGGACAACAATTTAAAAGTAGTCCTACGGCTAGGAGCACAAGGTGTATGAAAAGAATGTATCCGATCTTTCCTGTTCTTTAACATGACATCAAAAAATGTACCTAATACTACAGACAAAGATGTACCAAATAATTCTTTTTTTTGTGTGTGTAATTTGTCCGAACTTACCCCAAATGCCAAATTTAAAAGACATTAGGATTCTCAAAGTTAGGTTTTACCCACAAGCATAGTACCAAAAAGGAAAAGTAAGCGAATATTTAAAAGCGTTAAATAAAACTGAAATACTGTGCGGTTGGTAGAGAAATGAAGGGAATCGGAATATTCAAATATTAAAACGAATTAATAATAGTATAAAATATTATATTGTGATAATATCAAATATAGAAATCACTAACAAGGAATGAACAAAATTATAATACTACATGTAATTAAAATTCGTCAATAGACAAAAAGGAATACAAACAAAACAATTATACTTATCAAAGAATTGACAGTTCTCGTAGACATTTCAGGTTTATTGAGTTAAACATAAATATTTATTAAACTGAAACGTCTATGAAAACAAAAATCAAAACAATAACCAAAATCTATATCAAAATACATATTTTTGGTTTTTAGTAGTAGTTACTAAGTGTGGATGTAGGTATGCCGTACATTCTTGAAGCGGCTGCATAGGAGAGCTCCTTATTATTTATTTTCTGCATGACCAATTGCAGCGCTTCTTTTGTATAACTGGCCCGCGAAGAGGTTCTAGAGTATTTACGTGGTATCTGCAAATCATAATCATAAATCGTTTATTTCAAGTAACCAAGACTCACAAAATGTTAGTAAAACTTACATCTATGTTAGTATGTAATCACAATTGTTTTATAGTACATTAAAGGTTTTATATTATTACATCCTACATTAATCCATGGGAAATGGCTCCTTATTATTTTTTTTATTTTTTAATTTTTAATTTTTAAAAATTAATGTAGGATGTATTACATCGTCCCATGTATATGCATTCCAGTCTGCTCGCAATCATGCTCAGGATACTGTTGGAGCTGGCCCGCACTCTGCTCACCAGGGAAGCACACCTGTTGCGCATTGTTGCATAAAAACAGTCTATGTGTGCATCTGCAAACATTCCTGATGCGCTACAGAAGCGGGGCAGCCCCACCAGCACCCTAAACGCATTATTATATTGAACACGGAGAGCGCTGTATGACCTCTGCGCAAACCTAGCCCACAGGCTGCTTGTATAAAAGTTAGTACAGTATGCCCTGAAGAGGGTGAGCTTGAGTTCAAGTGAACACCGTGCAAACCTGCGAGCTATCATGTTTGTCCTAACGGACAACGCTCTCCGCTCACGTTCAATGTCTGTATCGTCCTTGAGGTCGGGGGTCAATATGAAATGCAAATGAATTGTTGTTATAAGTAGTGGATTTTAAGCGCCATAATAAAACGATTAGGGGAATTGTGCTTAAGATGACATACTTTTAATTTAACACAATTTTTTTAATAAAATAAAGTCATGTGAGATCAGAATTTTGCGTATATTAATAAATGTTTCACAATCAACGAAATTAAAACAATATTGGAACAATTAACGTAACATAAAATTATTAAACAAACATAAATCGAACATAGGTCGATGCGTGTAAGATGACATATTAATACATAGTATAAAATGACATACTATGTCATCTTAGACTTAAATGGTATGTCATCTTTAACCATAATTTTAAGAACAAAGTTCGCAGATAAAATTATAGTGTGTGACACCAATGAGCTGTTGACACTTCACCCAATGTTCTTTTAGCCGATAGATTCACTAAATAACTCATTACAGTAAATGCAAGCTGGATCATCGTTTTCCTCGTCTTCATTAGTGTAAGGATCCTCGAGGTCCATGTCATCATCTTGAACTGGTTTCTTCTGCTTGTAATCTCGTGTGGGCCTAGATTTTTTAGATGCATGCTGGGGTTCCTCATTCTCATGGTCAAAAATAATACGCTTCGTTTGTTTTTGTTTTTTAAGGGATTGGCGATTTTCCTTTTCTTTTTTCTTCTGTACTGCTGCTTTTATATCACTCATAAATGGACTAGCTGTAAAAACTTGCGCTCCGCCGACTTTTCTGTTAACCCTTGACTTTCCCCGTTGAAGCAGCTTTTGGTAGTGGTGAAATTTCTTTAAGAATGCCCTTCGTGTTGAATAATATTTCAGTTTGCAAAATTGGAGGTCCAGTTAAAATTTGATTGCTATCCGACATTTGTTTTTTATCCTCCTCATGGATTGTTTCTAGTACATCTTTGATGCCTATCTGCTCTTGCCCAACAGCTACGTCACTTGTCTGTCCTTGACCAAGAACTTCATCGTCTATTGGAACACCTTCATTTTCTATCTGTCCTTGTTCAACAGCTTCATTGTCTAACAGTTCTTGGTTGGTTCAACAGCTTTATCGCCCACCTGACTTTTTTCTCCGTATAAATGCGTAGCAACATTCGGTAACAAAATTGTTGGGGATGAGTTACGACTACTACTAGAATTGTCACATGTTTCAAAATTTATTTGCTCGTAGGACACAGCAGTTGCTACCGCCATTAACTGTTCGTCAATATCAGCAGATTCTGAGGAATCGCACTCTTCGTAATTTACTTGAGGCTGAGTTGAACTACTTGCCACCGGCTCATCGTCGCTAATCAATTTATTCTTTTTTATTCTTATCAAATCTATGATCCAATCCCAATTTTTCCGCAAATTCAAAAGCTAATTTTCTTATTTCGGTTGTATTAAATCCAAAAAGTCGACTTTCGAACTCGAGCATGTGGTCTATTAGGGCTTTTTCCATTTCTGCGTTAAAAGTTGGCTTAAAACGACCAAGATTTACTGGAGTCCTATAATAATGGCGACGACGAGTTGCTTTTGGGACATTAAAATGTTTCGATGCTAAAAGCCAACCCATCTTATTTTCCTTCACAGCTTTAATGGCCTCATTCATGTCTTCTTGTGACCAACTCTTCCGCGTCGATTTTCGTTTGTGATTGCCAGGCATTCTGCATAGAAAGAAGAAAAACTAAGTATTAATGTCATCTGTAGGTATATTTATTTTATAAGGATAATTTGTGCTCCCCAACCTTGGTCTGAGGCATCTGATGTGATGAATATTGTCTCTGTTGATTTGAAAAGGGGATTTCTCTTTTCGAGATTTTGAATCCACCATTTGCATTCTTCGAGTGCCTTTGCAGGAATGGGAACCTTTTTGCGGATTGACTCCTCTGGTAAAATATTGGCTGCTCTTTGTATCTTTTTGGAGTGAAGTCTTCCAAGTGGTATTACAAAAGACGCAAAATTCAGCTTTCTTAGCAGGCTCTTTGCGGATTGCCAACTCCATCTTTGACTTGATAGAGGTTTGTTGAAATCCTTTCTCAAGGAGAATTTCTTTTCCGGGAGGGCTTTTGTGTTGTTTAAGGTGTCCCATTCTATCCCTAAGTATTCGATAAGTTGAGATGGCTCTTGTAGAGATTTGTTCGTATTGATTATCCATCCCAATCTTAGGAGGAATTGTTCCATCTTGACAGCATCTTTTTGAAGCTTTATCGGATCTTGATTGGCAATCAAAAAGTCGTCCAGGTATACAATGACCCTTATTTATATTCATCTGTCGCAGTCAGGATACTACCCAGTTTGATACCCTCGCAAAGGTAAGCGGGGATGTTGATAGACCAAACGGGAGACATGTAAACTGAAATACCTTCTTTTGGTGAACTATTGATAGGAACCTTCGATGACGGTTGACTATTGGTATGTGAAAGTATGCCTGTGAGATGTCGATTTTTATGAGAAAATCTCCTTCCTGTAAGAAGTGAGGTACTCTGAAGTGATTTATCAAGCGGAATTTCTTTGGGGCGAGAAATTTGTTGAGGCTTTTCAGATTGACTATTGGGCGTACTTTGTTGTTGGGTTTCGGTACTGGAAACATGGTTGATAAAAAGCCTGTCTGGACCGTTGAAATTTCTATAACCTTTTGCTGTATGAGAGTCTGGATCTCTGAATTTAACTTTGTTGTTTCGAATCTGGAAATTATTTTCGAATGAAAAGGTACCTGTGGGGTTTTTTTTACAAAAAGAATGATGTATCCGGATATCGTTTGTAGGATATTTAGCGGCGCCCCCTCCCTTTTCCAGGCTTCTACAAACTGTGAAAGGCGTCCCGCCTCGAATGTGTCCGTCTTTCCTATTTCAAATTTTTCACTTTGGCTATCATCGGGGCTTTCGCTAGCGATATAAAACCAGCCTTCAAAAATACGGTCCTCTGTTAATCTGGAAGCACCGCACTTAGGGCTACTTGACGTCTTAAAGTTTTATTTTTTGTTAGATTTAATTCACGGCCTTTCCTCCAAATAGCATTATTCATATGGTAATAACAGCCGTGGATACTTATCTCAGGAAAAATTGTACGCATAGCAGATATAGCTGCTTCTTCAAAATCACTGGTAAAGGATGAAGGATTCCAATCGTTAATTTGAGATTTAACAAGTCTGAAAAGTATCTCGTATGTTTCTTTTTTACGGTTTGACATTAAAGCGTAAAATAATGGCGTCATAGCTGTGCTTTGATTATTACTTCCTAAATCACCATGAACGGTGTAGAGCTGTTGGAATGGAGGTGGACAACTCTTAAATGTACCGTCACCAAATATATTTTTTAAAACTCTTAATTTTTCTTTACATTCTTGGGAACAAAAAATGAGTAAGCGTGTGTTACCGTAACAGTAATCTGCTAACAAAAATGATTCAAATTTTTGAAAATGAAAATGAAAATATTTATTTGTAAACATAGGTACAATGGGATGTTACATTTCATGGTATAATATTGACCATCTATGTTTTGTGATATGTCACATACAAATTAGGTTAAAAATTTAAGTATTTAATTTAATAACGTCATTAATATTAATTACATTCGAATAAATTATTACAATAGTCACGAATGTATATAAAAATAAAGATAATGTCCTTGATGAAAATTTTAAATATTAATCATTAGCGGATGTCAAGATGAACGTGAAACAGTACATTTTTTTAAGTCATATTACCTAGTCAGTGGGTACAACATACTAAAAGTTTTACTGATAATTTCGTTGTTCTTATATAAATCAAAACAAATGCCACCAATGCAAATCGGATCAAACAGGCAGTCATCTTTCATCCAAAAATTCCTTGATGGAGTAGTAACATTTTGATACCAGGTGTACTGTAGGGACATTTTAAACTCGTCTACACTGCTGATGTTAGTTATAGCATTTGGTAACTTGTTGTATATTTTGGGTGCCATACCCAAAATATTGTTATTAAATATGGCTTTTTTGTGAGGTGTTATGCATATTTCGTGTATGTGTCGTGTGCTCTTTGGATGGGTATGTATATATGTGTAGGTTTGCTTTAACAAAAGTGGCTACCTCATATATGTAGAGACATAGAAGCGTAAGCAGCTGTAGCCGCTGAAAATGTGGTTTACAGCTCTCTGTATTTTGTATGCCGCATATGGCTCTGATACACTTTTTCTGTGCTTTAAATGCATTTTGTTTATTTGGCGAGTTGCCCCAAAATTTGAGTCCGTATCTTAGAGTGGATGCAACATATCCATGATACGCCATTATTAATGTTGGAAGATTTGACACTTTTCTTAGGTTGTATAATGCATACGAGTACTGGCTGAGCTTTTTGCATATATTTTCAACGTGAGTTTTCAATGTCATGTTTTTGTCAATACTTATGCCTAAGAATTTTGTGTTATCAGTTGCATAAATTGTTTGGTCACCGTAGTGAATATTTATAATCGTTCTTTGTTCAAAAGAAATGTACGTCGTTTTTTCTAGGTTAATTTTTAAGTTATTTTTGGTTAGCCAGGATATGATGTTATTTAAATTGTCATTTATATCTTTTTCAAAAGTCTCGTCATCTTTTGTTTTCTTAAATAGTATTGTGCTGTCGTCCGCGAATAGAATCATTGGGTTATTAATTACTTTAGGCATGTCATTGATATATATAATAAATAGCAAGGGTGCGAGAACACTACCCTGTGGTACTCCGAATAGACACTTCCTACGTGTAGAGGTATATGTCTTTTCGGTTTTTGTGTAGGGACAGATTTTGTTTATGTATGTAATTTGCTCTCTATTTGTCAGGTAAGATTTTATGAGCTCAAGTATATTACCCTGATTCCGTATTTCTCTAGCTTATTTATTAGTATTTCATGGTTTACAAAGTCAAACGCTTTTGACATGTCCATAAACAATGACACTACAGGGGTTCTATTATCTACGTTTGTTAAGACGTGTTCTATTAGATTATATATGGCTAAATCGATACTTTGAGGAACCTCAACCGTTTTAACATTATTAAAAGTGATTTTACTCATATTATAAGTGCTATTTCGATGGTGATACAAAGTGCTTTTTATGTTTGCAAACTTAGGAATATCTTTGGGTAAAGTTACTTTATCGAGTCCTTCGTCCAACATTTTCGAAATTGTTGTATGAAAGGCGGCTGGTACGCAAGGTACATCATCAGAAGTTATATTTTTCTTGCATTCATCAATATGGATGTCTATTATGTTTTTATTGAAGTCCGGTGTACAGGTGTGTGTGTAGTTTCTTTCAAAATTTGATCATTCTGCAATAAACGTGCATAATTTATTTACCCATTGTCTGATTTTGCATGAAAAAGAAGCCAAAAAAGTATGTACTTACTTGTACCTCTATAGTAAAGGTCCCACTGCACTTATTCTTTCTTCTAAGATGACATTCCCATACAATAGCTCCACTTTTGTTTTGCCTTTTCTTTAAAAATTGGTATCCAGCACCTTTTCTTTTTATATACTGCAAACAGCTTCCTGTACTACCAGAGGGACCAGGATGCGCTTCTTGTGACATTGTTGAGCTCTAAGAAACAGGAGACAATAATTACATACTTATTAATATAATTTAGAATGATGTTTAATAATGTGTAAACTAAAATTGAGTACAAATATGGATACCGTATATTATTAGTATAAATTAATAAGAAATGAGACAAATATAGTATTGACTAAAAACTACACGTCTTTTTGAGGCATGCTCCTTAGAAGGTTTGTTTCGGGAAAAGGTTTGGCCATGATCTTTGTTTTTGGTGTTAAATTGTCGTTTAAAAGTTTCATGCGTTATACCGGTACCTGACTTACGTTGTCTATTATAAGGTTTCGACGTCTTCGAAACTTTGTGAGTTGGTCTTGTTTGGCGTGCAGAGTATGTTGAATTATAGTTTTTAGGTTGCAAGGGTTTTCTGTGGGGGTTGCGAAAAAATGTTTGCTGGGATGGTTGTTTGAGCAATTCTGCTAGTCCTGTGTCACAGAAGAGGTGGGTGGTTGATGGGGGAATAGCACCAAGGAGAGCTGCCTGATATTCTTCCTTGGGAGGGAACCCATTTCTTCTTTGCTCTATAATCTCTGTTCTCCTGCTACACACGTACTGAAGTAAATCATCCGACAAGGATTTTAAAGTTGAGTCTGTTGATAAAATGTTTTCAAGTCATTTTTTATAGACGGATGTTTGTTTGCCAGGTCCTTTAATATGTTTGCCAATGACTCTCGTTGAAGCAGCAGGCCGTGGCAAATAGTACCTAAGGTATAATCCATTCGAACTAAGTGCTCTTGATTAGGGGAGGTTCCATACGCAGTGAGAATGGGGTTAACTTTCAAAGGACCGAAGACTGGGCTAGCATGTAGTTTCTTCTGAACCTCTGCATATCGGATCTGGTTGAAGGTTATATCACCTAATCGTTGGCATTCGGCACCTTGAGTGGCAATGTGAGGTTTAGCAGGTGGTATCAAGGGCTCCTGTTGTTTTGTAGCTAGAGTCCAGTCAAAGTCATCGTCAGCGATGGAAGTAGGTGGTTCCCAGGGTTTTGGTGATACTGCTTGAGGTTGAACAATGTTGTGTTCGTCTTCTGATGACTCTTGGGAAGTATAATCATTCTCTCAAGCCGAACACGGTTGAGCATCTGGTTGAAAGTTTTTTATAAACTGTCCCATCATGTTTTCTAACTTAAGCTGGCTTTGTTTCAACCTGTCTAAACGACTTGGTTTCTTAGATCTACCAGATGTAGTTATTGTGGACGGAATTGATACCTCATCATCAGAGTGACCAACTTGTCCGCCCAACTCCTTATCTGCCTCTTCTCTGCTTATAAGTAACGGCTTCGTTTCTGCAATGGCCGCAAGCACCAGTTCATTCTGGACTGCTGAACCACGGACTCTAGCAGCTAGAGACATGGGGTGAACGATGAGGCCAATGCACAGTGGCCACTCCAAGAGCTTTAATTTTATGTCCCGATAAGTTTTCTCTTTAAGAACTGTACAATTTGGGGAAAACACTCGAGGTAAGTCAACAGTAGGAATTGCAAACCTGATTTTGTTCAAAATTTGGGGGTCGAATTCGCTGCCCAGTAGCTCCTCTTTTCTGAACGTTCTAATTCTCCACTCATTCCAACCCCTCGGTAGGTGGTTTCTTACGATTTATTTTATTCTGTTTAAAACGATATTGTTCCCAGGGTCGTCTGCTTCCCATTCCATTAGGGACTCCAAAGTGTGCATGTCGGCAGGGGATGTTGCCTAAAACAAATAGACAAAGTTAGCCTTTTCATCTTACCAACCTCTGCGTGAGCTAGGAATATAGGCTAGTATTACGATATGACCTGTAGGTACGTTTCGGGGACATATCTCACATGACTTGTACTTATTAATATTTAGTCTGTATCAAACAATTGAAAAAGGTTAGAGGTACAGGTACCTTATGGTAAAACGGCACTATTAAATAAAAGTTCTTTATGCATGACATATAATATATAACAAATTGCCTGATGACATTAAACAATTACCAATCCACCAGTTTAAAAAGAAATTACATTCATTCCTAATAGTGAGATGTTATTAATTATGATGTTAAAGATTACTTGTGTGACAAAAATATTGTCTTCCAATGACAAGAAAAGTGAATATGTATGTGTATAATAATATATTGAACTGTAGTTGACATTTAATTTGCTTGTCTTTCCACTTTTTAACATTTATGTAAGAATGTGATTTGAAATTTTGTAATAATGAATTAACA